AGAGAGAGAGAGAGAGAGCGTGAGACGCCGGAAGAGATATCCAAAAAATAAGGATTGCACGGTGAGCTACTTGGTCAAAAGAGTTCAACAGATTGCGTTGAACATTTGAGACGCAGTAGATCCAAGTGACTGTTTTTATTGAAAGAAGTGATGGTCTGAATTTCGACTTCTATATGGTCCCTTTTAAGGACAAGTGGGCTAACACAGATTTCGGGGGTCTCCAGAAATTTTGAATTACACCAAAAGTGGGCATTGCCCTACATTTTGGAGAGGTTTGGTTTCATTGGTGAGTATATATGTTTGATTATAATGAACACTCTCCTTGCCTTCTAAAGAAACTGAACAAGGGTCAAAAACTTTACCTTCGATTTCTTCAATACAGCATTTTTCGGGATAGTCCCCTTCTGCTTAAAAGCAACCATATGTGGAGGAGTTTCACATCTTACACGATCAGGAACGCTTCTTCAGAAATTCAAATTCAGAACGCACCATGAAACAGTAATTATTGTAACTAAATATTTTACACCCCCATTGACATAATTCAGACCATTTAGAATGTGGGCTGCTTCGACCATGTCTGTGTGGGCTAACTCGGACTAAGAGGGATATAAAGTCCCCAAAGGCGGAAGAAATCATCATCATCATCCGGTGCCTTGCCGGCTGGCGTGGTTGATCATTGACCTCCACTTCAATCTGTCTTGTGTTGCAGGGATGGTGTACGTTGTTTTTGCTGTGCAGAAGAAATACTCACCAATAAAATAGAAAAAGCCTTACTACGTTGGAATTGAACTCACGTCTTTTGTCTACAATGGTACAGACCCTAAACGCTTACATCACAGACACCAATCTCTTAAATTGTGATAAATGTTGATACGGGGTGATTTTAAAAAACTGTACAACTTTTTTTTCTAAATATCTCGCACAAAATTTCTACTAGAATGTTGTAATTTGGAATAGATATAATTCACTCAAAAGGAATTTGTTTAACATCAAATTCACAAAAAAGAAGCTTATTTTTGAAAACGGAAATGGCTTTTATAAATAAAAACCACCTAAAAACGCAAAATACACCAATATAAAAGATATTGTAAGAGAAGTCATGAAATGATTTGTTTGATTTTTTCCTTTCCCTTTATTTTAAAAATCTATTTTTTCCATTCCTGTAACCTGTAACTATATTCCTTTTCTCCTACAGAGTTAAACGATATTTGTTAAATTCTGGAATTCCGAGAACCAAAGGTCTATATGTCCTCCTTTGGACTCGACACATTTTAACTCGTCGTTCGTAATGTTCAAAGATCCACTCAACCATGAGTACTCACTGCACACCTTACAGTATATGGAGCTGTTTCAAGAGACAACATGGGGAGAGGTGAGGTTGCCCAAATAGACAGCATTTGTGGAGTTGATATAACCTGAAAGGTGAATATGGGCTTTGCCAAGAACCAAAATGTCCTAGAGGAAACGTCCAAGCTTTTCAAGACGATCAAGGAATCATGAACACATTGATATCCTCTGAAAGTACAGTCGTAGATGAAGATCTTCCCTGAGAATGCGACAGTTGAGATGTAGGAAAGTCACTGCTGCAGACAGCGTCTACGGACAGACGTGTCATGGAGCTCATCTACTGAATTCTACACCCTGGTGACGTTTAAAGGGGTGCGAACGGTGTGTGTTTGACCTGAAATGATCGTTTTGTCTGGGAATTTTTAGTTCTGATTGTCTACAGGTACTAACTGATGGACCATTTCCACCCTTGACATCAAAGAAGGCCTTAAGGGCACTTTAACATTATTTCTGTACCTTGTGCGAAACTTACGAAATGAGTTGGTGGTGAGGAAATGTTCAATACAATACAAAAGCTCTCTGCTCTTTACTAATCTTAACCATGATCACAGCAGGCAAAGGAAACTTGAGAAAAACTATCTGCAAACTTCTTTTGACCTGTTAGACTACTGTAGTATGCAATATGGCTCAATCGTTGGGATTTTTAGTGGTAGGCCTTATGCCATTCTACAAAATGGGGAGATAGCTGAAAATGGGTTGTTTTTTACGCGCTGTGTAAAACAAAACTATTTAGAGTATTTTTTTAAAATGAATATCAGACAAGTTCCTTTTGACGTCCAAATGTTGGGTACAAATTTGAAGCCCAAAACTTCAATGTAAAGGAAAATATTAGCCCCAAAAAAGTTGTACAGTTATTTTTTATCACCCTGTACATGTATTTTCTTTCAGCACCACTCAGTCCAAAATGTACCGACTTACTTTGTACACGTCCTGGCCTGGGTGCTCATAACGCTGTGAGCTGAGGTCGGTGAGGAGGGCCCAGCCAAACGCCGTGAGCTCTCCGTTGTTGTACAAGAGGAAGACTGGGAAGTAGTCGTCGCAGTTCATATCTTCACTGAGGTCGTACCAGTAATGTTTGCCTGAGACAGACACACACATGAACAAATAGGTTCAGATGAAGTTATTGTTGTGCATAAAAATACATTATCAAATGATATGAACTGGCCAAGAACAGTGTTTACTTCAATGATTTGGTGTCCGAGGTTAAACTGCTTCTCATTTATTCATCTCATCAAAAACATAATAATAATAATAATAATAATAATAATAATAATAATAATAATAATAATAATAATAATAACAATAATAATAATAATAATAATAAAAAGGGTGAAACTGGCACATGTATAAACGTGATAACCATCTGCATCCCTACAAAGTATCTGACAGCACAATAGGCCTAGGACTTCCACAATATAAACTGACCCATTGTGTAGAAGCATTTTCCCTCTGTCCACTTGGTGGCACCGATGCCGGACTCTTGGTGAGGAATCAGAACGCTCGCCTCCGGATCTGCAGTTTTCTGGAGATAGAGGTTGATACCCGTGCCCTGAGATGCAAAATCTGCCGCTGTTCTGCCCGTGGTACAGATGGTGGCTGAGGAAGTCATGAGAAATAGTTGGGGGGGGGGGGGGTTAATAATAAAATTTAAAAAACAATAAAAACCCTCCCAAAAAAACCCACACAAAACAAAGACATCACTCGTCTTTTTCAGGGATGGTGCTTCACGGCTGTGTTACAAATCAATGTTGAAATATCACAGGAAAATAATTCTGTTCACATTAGAAGAGACAATTAATGTCACTCAGACGAACACACCATTGCTGCTGGGCGCGGTGCGGTGCCTTGTCTTTGATCTAAGATTGACAGGTTCTTTTTCTGGGATACACTCCCTTGACTTGTCATCAAAAAGCTATAATTATTGTATCTCGAAGTTCCTTTCTTTGTCTGCCAAATGCATTCACTACTAGACCACCAGCCCACAGCAGTGCTATTGCTATTCAAAATAGGGTGGGTATTTTGCGTGAGTTCAGAAAGTGGATGCTTGTACTTAGCCTTTTTTTTCGTTCTTTGTTGTTTTTAATAATGAAATAACAGTAGCTGACACGTTGGGGTTTAAATTAGATCTTTCACCACATATTGTGTATGCGCACGCCTTGTGTATGTGTGTATGTGTCTCTGTGTGTGTGTGTGTGTGTGTGTGTGTGTGTGTGTGTGTGTGTGTGTGTGTGTGCGTGCGTGCGTGTGTGTGTGAGTGTATGAGTGAGTATGTGAGTGTGTGAGTAGGTGTGTGTATGAGTATGTGAGTGTGTAAGTATGTGAGTGTGTGTATATGTGTGTATGAGAATGTTTGTGTGTGTGAGTGTGTATGTGTGTGCACGTGTGTTTGTGCGTGTATATATTTGTATATTTGTGTGTGAGTGTGCGTGAACGCTCAGATGCACAGGGGCATATTTCAGCAGTATGTTGTTTTGTAAAGGTGTATGCGCGTGTGGCTAGCGCGAATGTGTCTTAGAGAGAAAGAAAGACAGAAAGCACGACAAAAAGAGACCGCACTATCTTTTTATTTTGGTATCATATTTTTTTTTTGTCTCGGGTTTCAAGAAAAGTTGACAACCGAGCGCATAGAGATATTCAGTCCACAGCTTTAGATCTATATCTATTAAGAAATGATTGTTCTCTTGCGCGGGGCAAAATTTTGTGACAGTTTCAATAATCTCCCCTCTTCGGTTGAAACAAATACCGAATAAAAGGGATTGGTTGTCCAATGCGAATATTCCCTATGGATTGTCCTCTATAGGGAGGTACTATCGTCCACGTTGGCATGAATTGAACGGTACCAAACTGGGGAACCGTTTAATGTCTCCAAAAGGACGATCGGCCGTTTGGTTTGTGAAGGAAAAAAATCAACAAAACCAAACAAGCAAAACAAAACTAAGGGTAACAATGACTTTGTTATTTCAATTTTGTGAACATAAAAAAATGGTAGATTAATAGTATCCTTACCAGTAACAACGAAATATGATAGAGAAAAATATGAACAGACTTAACACCAACAACGCGAACACAAAGGTTAGAATATCATTAACGTCTACAAAACCATTGTTGTGTCAATACATTACAAAGGTACTCTATTACGAGGACTTGGATAGTTTCTTGAACAGACATTCTACTCACAAGGGTCGACGAAATAAGCTGATATGGTGAAGCGGTCGCCGTCCTTTACGAAGGGTGGCTGTAGGTTGACCTTAGGAAAGCCACTGGGCTGGTTGTCTGCAAACTGAAAAAAAATTAATTATCGTGACTTAGTTTTGACCTCTGCACCTGACCTGATCAAGTATTGAGTCCTTCAGTTCAGCAATGCTTACCTTTACTGAACGAAGGTCGACAATGCCCAAATGAATGGCTTTTTTTTTTTCAAACAAAGACAAAGAAGAAAATCGTCTAGAATTCTGGGAAACACGAACGTCTTCGTTTCTTCTGTTTTTGGTAAGAAAGGAATTTAATTTGTCTCCAATTGGCGTTCGTCAATTAGAGTTCCTTATGATAGTATCATTTTGCAGTGTGATCTATGAATACTTTGAGACTGTAATGTTATGATCAAAATAGCATTGCAATATAATATGCTTTTATAGTCTGAACATTGTTAGATATGATTATACAAAACAATGCAAATCTGACTTGAAAGTTTCTGTCTTGCATTTTATAACATCTGTCTCCAGCTGAACATATAACCTTTTTTTCTTCTTTTTTTTTTTGGGGGGGGGGGGCACATGTTCATGTTTACAGTCTATTTGTATATTGTCCTGTTGACTTTGGGTTCGAAATTGTTTATTTCAGTTGGTTTCTATGTAGTTATCACGTCAAGGCTAGATCTAGCTATACCTACCGAAGTCTGCATGCCGGCGATGAAGCCGTTGACATCAAACAGCAACACTACCGAATAGTCGTCCCCCTTCACGTACCTCCTTCCCCTCCATTGAGCAGAAGCTGGAAGAAGCACTCTCAATATAATAAAAGTAAGGGTGACCTTATTTAGGCCACATATGGCCTAAATAAGCTAAACCCCCCTCCTTTACCTTATTTAGGCCACAGGTGGCCT